AATGCTATCCAGATGAAGTCGTATTGAACAAGTGGAGGGAAAGGACCTGCCCGTATGTAGTTGCTCGATATGGGACTGTCTTTGGATTTTTCACCAATAACGAATCATGAGCTTGCTGTAGAGTAGGTATCAGACCCTCACCCAACAGCTCAGAGTCAAGAATTTCACTCACCTGAGAAACATAGTATGTTTTGTCAACTATAATGAACTTTATCTGCAATAGTAGAACAACCCTAATGCAAAAGAAGTGCCAACTCCACATAAATCCCTAACTGCATAATAATAGCTACGGAATATCACAAGAAATGTTAATTCATCAAATAAATAAAACAATCAATATAACTGCTTCCTAATAAGGAAAGTGCTCCTAATAAGTAAAGTGCTCCTAATAAGAAAAGTGCGTCGCTAAGTATGAACTGACAACTGAAATAACCAAATCTGAATGATGCTGGTAATTCAGATTAGTAGTGATACAGTTGAAGCATAACAACGAGTATGAGTACTACACTAGCTTATTTGACTGGGCATAAATATGTATAATACCGGAGCAGGTTCATTTAGTAGAACAAGAAAGCCAATTGAGCTAAAACAAAAGCCTACCAGTACATCAGCTGGCGAATCAAGCTCGACTCCAACTTCGAGCTCATCTGACCGCTTGTGGAAGAGCTTCACCTTATTCTCCATCCTGTTGGCTCTCAGTACCTTCCGCGTTAACTTGCCCATGGGAAGGTAGGATTCACACACCGACACGCTGCCCCTGCCTTCGCCTCCAACAGCCCCCAAAGCTCGCGCGGACATCATGGAGAGCAGCCCGGTCCCGGCTCTGAACCATCATAAGCATTAGCAGCCACTCTGTTTTCTTTGTGATATCATAGATCATGTAGCCAGCACAGCTGATTTGTTTTCTAAACCAGCATGTCCTTAATTAACAAGAGGGCCAGTTAAATGCTAATGGTTATTGTTCAAATGGCCTTGATTAACAAGAGGACCAAATAAATGTTAATGGCCTTAATTAACTTGTCTGAATGTCCCAATGTGACCCAAAGTACTCCCTCCGTTTCTTTTTAGTCTGCATATAAGGTTTGGTCAAAGTCAAGCTTTGTAAAGTTTGACCAACTTTATATTAAAAAATATCATCATTCACAATATGAAATAAACATTATCAGATGCACCATGAAATGTATTTTCGCACTATATAGTTTTAATATTATATATGTTCATATTTTTTCATATAAATTTGGTCAAACATCGTGTAGTTTGACTTTGACCAAATTTTTATACACGGAGTAAAAAGAAAAGGAGGGAGTACATGCTCCAATGAGTGTAAATGCATCGATGGGCGCTCACCCGATGTCGAGGACGCGGGCGGAAGGGTCGGAGACGGCGGCGTCGATGGCGCAGCGGTAGGCGCGGTTGCGGGCGGCGTCGTTGAGCATGTCGAGGTAGGAGGTGGCGGCGAGGAGCTGCCTCTGCGTCTGGGGAGGCGCCGCCCCCTCCTCACCTTCCTCGTCCACAACGAGCCACTCGGAGTCGCCGGTGAGCGGGTTGAGGCGGAGCTGGAATGCGCGGGACGGCGCGGCCGCTGAGAAGGCCATGCGGCTGCGGCCGCGGAGCAGGAGGTGGAGCGCGGCGGGCGGAGGGGTGGCCAGGCCGGCGAGGCAGCCCGGCATGAACGGGGGGCTCCGCCGGCGGCGGCTAGGGTTTTGCGGGCGGGCGGGCGCGAGCTCGGCCGCCGTCGGGAGGGACTGGGAGTGGCGCTTTCGCGGAATGGTGCTTGGGGACCCACGTATTTGTGCCTTGAGGGCCTGTTTTGAATACAAGGTTTTTTTAGGGGCCATTAGAAGAAAAAAAACATTCCCATGAGGGCCTTCCCAAAAATGGAGAAAACATTGCGTTTTTTTCCGGGTTAATTCCAATATTACGGAGCTACAGTCGATATGCAAGAGTTTCGCGATACAACTATACAAGGGGGTTCTTCATAAACACACAGCCATGATACACTCAACACGACTATACTTGGCCAAGCAATCTGCCACACCATTTTGTTCCACGGTGTAGTTATGTGGAATAAACTCCTTGTCCTTTGTTTTTGCCTTCTCCTTCACAAGATGTCCACACACGAAGCGTGAGAAAATCATTAGAAGATAAAGCTGTAAATGCCTCAGAGGAATCCGACTGAATAATGACTGCTAAGGAGGTATGATGGGCAACTAGTGTCATACCCTGCATGATCGCATGCAGCTCTGCCTTCAAAGAATTATTATAGTTGAAAATATACTGATAAGCCAAAAAGATAATTGGCCTGTCGTGCTTCCTGAGAATCATTCAGACTGGTGTCGCACCCTGTGAGAATGACCCGTCCATCGACAAAGACCACCACATTCACAAGCGGTGCAAGCCACCGAATGGCCGACATATGCCCAGAAGGTTTTGACATCGACAACCTCCAAGAATCATAAGCTGGCATCTTATACCTTTTAATACCTCCTTAGTATACTTTCGAGCATGGCCAATTGATTTATAAATTATAACAATTGTTTAGAAAAGTCACTGTCTCATCGACACGTGGGATTTCATTATTATGGATCAAGTCATTTTTGTAACGGTTAAATCCAACATATGAGCATAATTACCATATATCAAATAGGCTCCAAACAAATTAGTAAAACACTGAAGAGTCATTCTTTTCCATTATCCACAAGTTGCTCATTCACGGGGAGCGGCCATATGGTTTGCATATGATCCCAAATCAACCGTGTATGGGCACACGTCATCAGTGCATGCAAACTGCATTCATCCTCCATACTTCAAAGAACACAAGTGTTCTTGGTAGCTAGATGGCGACGAAGTTTACACACGAGAATAGCTAAGTGTGCCCATGACAGCCTTCCATGTCGTTGTCTTCATTTTTTGTCAAACTCATACTTTGCAAAACAAGATTTCATACAAATCTATCACCTCAAGGACAGAATTAGATGCTCCTTTAGAGAAATATACATCATGATCAAAAATAGCAAACCGATAGGCGTTCTTGACAGAAGAAATTCCGCTCTTTCCCAGTTGCCAAGCGAAGAATCCTGGCGTTGTCTTGGTGATGGGAGAATTTTCAAAATTTCATGAACATCTATTAGCCAGAAAGATTCATTTAGCCATTGAATGTTTTAAGCACCATGCTTGTCCAAGAAGTCCGCCACCCAATTAAAACGATAATTGCGCTTCAGTGTAATCAGTCTGAATGAGGGCCTTCATGGAATCTACGGATACCTCCAAATCGAACAGCCATCTCCCACTCGTCAAATAATTCCTTTTGTTAACAAGATAAAGGCTATGAACTACACCCTTTCACAGAGCCGTAATATTTCCCGAAAAGACAATACACAAGTAGAACGATATTTTACCAGCGTTCAGGGGTATCTAGTAAGCGCCAAGCTTGGTTAAAAACTCTCAAGTCACAAATTCTCATCCCACCTTTGCACTTAGGCAACCTCATCTTGTCCCAATTTAATCACGTCATTTTCTTTTTACCATTCTCCACACCACAACATCATTGCCACATGAGTAGAGTTAACACATCACAGACTGATGCAAACAAGCAAAAAACACTCATCGCATATATTGAAACGACTTCGGCTACCGATTTGATAAAAACATTGCACATGATGTGATTTTGATGTTGCTTATATGCCCCAAGAGCATGTATTGTATTCAAGCTAACCGAAGCGCAAATTGACCGGAAGATGATTAAAAAACAAACACCTTTTGTCTTCTTGTGTGCAGCGATGCACCATTGGGCATAATTAAACTTCTCATTTCCTTATAGCTAGTGTCCACGTGTTGTGTTGGTCAACGCTCCTTCTTTTATGGCATTTTAAGTTGTTTTATTTGATACTTTGAACATCAGACATGAATGATAGACAAGAAAAGTCTACTCCAAGTTCTCTTAGGTTACGTCAACATCAATCATCAAAGAAAACTCGTATTAGCCTTTGAAAACAATTACTAGAAAACGACCTCAAGCGAACCGTTCGTTGATTGATTGACTTATAAAATCAAATAATCCCACAAGACGGTCAAAAATTCTCACAAGAACAATGACCCGCATTTTTTCATTTCGACGCCCTTTGGACACGTAGCAGATACACAAATGCTTTTTCTGCATAAAGAAGTGCTGGCACTTGGATGATAAACGATACTAGTATATATTAAGCAAATTAAACAGTGTCCCCATCTTGCTATTTTTTAGTTTGATGAGGTGGCAATGCCATGAATAGCAGCCAGTGCGAAATGACAAAATGCTCACTTTATAAATAAAAAAATAAAATAGACAAGCCAGAGAAAAGGAGCAGGGGCGCCCTCCTGACCGCGCACCAACCGCCTCCTCCACGCTCGATTCCATCTGCCACTGCGAATCTCTCCCCCTCCCTCTTCCCACCGATCCCCGCCGCGCAGTCGCCGGCGCCGCCGCCGCCATGGCGCTCCTCCTCCGCCACTCCCGCAAGGTACCCCCACCTCTTCCCCTCCATCCGTGCCGTCGCCCCAGCGGCGCCCCAGTTTGTCGGACGAATTCGTGGCCCGGTGATCTGTCCCTGACCCCAAATCCCCCATGGCTCCCACCTGATCCGATCAGATTCGATCCTGCCTCGGGGACGATGGCTTAGAATCGGACGGTGACGATGGCCGCGGCCGCGGGTTCGCTCGCTGGCTGCCCCCCCTGCGGCTGCCTATGTCAGATTGATCACACATACCCCGCTCATGCATTCCCACCTTAGCGACTTGGATTGTGGAAAATTAATGTCGATAGGTTATTCTGAGTAGAGATGTGTGGCTGTGGATCGACTGGAACAGATTAATCTGGACACGGCGGTGTTCTGATTTTTTTTAGCACAGGGGAGAGAGGTGGCAGATGTAGACCATACATAGGTTTTGGTTGATGTGAACGATGTAATCGTGTGATTTTTTTTTCTTGGAACCGTAAATCCCTGGCTCGTTTTCATGTGCTCATGGTTGCACACGTTTCGCTTGTGCAGCTGCGAAGAGTGCACGGCGTCCTGGACTGCGAGCGTGGGAGCATCGCTCGGCACTTCTCTGTCGCCGCTGCAAAAGAAGACGGTACGTGCTCCTCTGTCCGTATTCCGGCGGTATCTTGATACGCTAGTTGTTCTTGAGAAAACTGAAACCAGTATGCTGCCCAAGTCCCAATGTATGTTTCAATGTTTTATCGGCCAAGTACCCATGGCATGGAAGTGTTTCCTACACTTTGCCTCGGTGCTGCACAAGGATGCAGCTGATTTATGCTTATGGTTCAGGACCCTACCAGCGTACTACCATGTTTGGTGCTGGAGTAGGGCTCAGGGTTTTGTTATCCTTGTATTGTATATCAGCCGTGACAAGCTCCCCCTCTGACAGTAGTGGGGTGCAATCTGATGAAATTTTCTTCCTGAGATTTGAAAGAGGCAGCAGCTACACCTCTAAAACAGAGTTACTGCTTAACAAACCTTCTAGCCTTTAAATTCAATATGAAGTGAATGCTCATTTCGTCCTCTCATGTTTAAGCAATTGAGATGTCAGCAATGAAAATACAATTAACTGTGTTGCTATTTGAATGGCCACTAGTTCTTCTAAAAGGAAACTCTAGTGTATATCAGTTATCTCCTAATACGAACCTTTGCAACACATACTGTTTTGGTTTCAGTGTGTGGAACGGCAATTTCCTCATTTACGGGCTTGCTTACATTAAAAATAATCGGTCTTGCCCTGCTGCAGCTGTCTCAAGTTCTAGTGTTCATGGGGAGTACGGGAAAAAGGTTGGAAGGTCGAGCATTTTCCTAGACAGGCAGTCTGAAAAAGATCTCCATGCCTTCAAGGTTATGCAGTTGTGATTACAATCCTACTTATTTAATTGGAGACTAGTTGTGTATTCTGACTTCGGTGGGCTGTCTCATCTATTATTCGCAGGTATCATCACGAGAAGCAAGGGGAAGCTACAGCTCCAAACGGATGCCAATTGCTGCTACTGGGGTCAATAGCTTGTTCTCATGGTATGCACTCTCGTTTATGTCTTTTTCCTGAATTTCCACGTCCATATATTCTATGCTAGTTCATCATAGCTGTAACCATGTTTTGACTGTCTGTTGCTATTTTTCAGTGGACAGGTAGTTTCGGCAAGACATTTTTCAAGTGGGGCAGGTACCTCTCTCTTGTCAAGCTATCTGTGTATTAAAATCATTTCCAGCTTTGAGTTATAAGATGATACAAACAAGTTGATATCTAACATTTTTAACAAAGTTATCAACCATTTATAGATTTGCCACCACATGAGGCTATCGGGATGCCTTCTCTTTCCCCTACTATGACCGAGGTAATTTACTCAAAATTGGAAATAAATGCAAAGTGCTGACAGATAAAACATAAAGCATGACCAACGTGCATGTGTTTCTTTGATTGTCTATGTGGTTAAAAAACTTTTAATGGCCTGTAGGGGAATATTGCAAAGTGGGTGAAGAAGGAAGGAGACAAAGTTTCACCTGGTGAAGTTCTTTGCGAAGTGGAAACCGTAAGTTTTGTTTCTCGTCATTTATTCCCAGGGCACAACTTGTGCTGCTAGCTAATTGTCGAGCACATGTGTGGTCACCAGGATAAAGCTACCGTGGAGATGGAATGCATGGAGGAAGGCTATCTCGCTAAGATAGTTTGTGGAGATGGCGCAAAAGAGATTAAAGTTGGCGAGGTACATATATGCTATATCCTGATGCATAGGAGACGCTTCTTTTTGCCACTGTCTCTTAACATAGTTGTTGGACTAACGACCACAAGTTTTTTGTTTGTGAACTAGATTATTGCCATAACTGTGGAAGAGGAGGGTGATATTGAGAAATTTAAGGATTACAAGGCTTCGTCTTCAGCTGCAGCTCCAGCTGAATCAAAACCCCAATCTGAGCCCGTGGAACCAAAAGAAGAGAAGAAAGAGGTTTCCAAGGCCCCCGAGCCAACAGCTACAAAGACTGAAGAATCTTCTCAGTCAGGGGATCGCTTATTCTCCAGTCCCGTTGCCAGAAAGTTGGCAGAAGACAACAATGTAAGCCCTTACATTTCAGATATCCTGATTGTCCATAAGAAATGCAGTTTTTGACCTTCAGAATTGTGCCCCAAACAGGTACCGCTTTCAAGCTTAAAAGGTACTGGTCCAGATGGGCGTATTTTGAAGGCAGACATTGAGGATTACTTGTGTATGCTCTCTTCTGTCTATTTTTGTCCTTGCCAGTGCGAACAAAAGTCATTGAGTCCAAAAACTGAGCATGATTAGTCATGAACTGTCTTAGATTTCTCACCTTTTCTCCGCCACCATTTTTTTACTCACCGCCACTCTCATTTGTAGGATAATTAGTGGATGGTAGAAAAGGTGTATTTAAAGTGTTTAATCTGCATAAAAATGTATCCAGCAAGTAGAAGGGTTCAGTCAACTGATAATGTTATGCTTATGCTTGATGAAGCTTCTGCAGCCAAGGGTTCGAAGAAGGAAGCTGCAGCAGCTCCAGGACTAGGTTATGTGGATCTTCCAAATACACAAATACGGAAGGTAAAATCAATGCTGTGGAGTTCTTCAAATGTACGTGTCGCTTATGGTATGCTCTACTGCAATTGACGGCATCTAATTTTGTTTTCCTCAGGTTACTGCAAACCGCCTGCTGCAATCTAAGCAGACTATCCCTCACTACTATCTGACAGTTGATAGCCGTGTTGACAAACTTATCAAGTATGGACATCGTTCGTACATTTAATAATTTATCTTACACATTACCCATTTTCCGTGAACTAGATGAATAATTTGCTCAATCATTGTTTGGGTAATCAGCCCTATCTTTTGCCTGCACCATTATTTTGCTTCTGACACGGAAGATCCATCCATTATTTTGTTTTATTCTAGATTGCGGAGTGAGTTGAATCCGATGCAGGATGCATCTGGTGGGAAGAAGATATCTATTAATGATCTTGTTATTAAGGTAAGTTTTGACGTATGGTGGTTTCTGATGCTCCTTTTTATCTTTATGCAATGTGTTTACTTGAGCGGTAGGAAATGTTATCTGAATAAGTTTATTGTGGGTTCTTCACACAATTCTCAGTTGCTTTGTGTATCTCTACACTACAGTATTGAGCTGATTGCTGTTTACTATGCAGGCTGCAGCATTGGCTCTTCGTAAGGTTCCTGCCTGTAACAGTTCCTGGATGAATGATTTTATTCGCCAGTAAGATATGGACAGTAGGTCAATTAAGATTGGAGCTTCATTTTCATTAGTCAGAACGTAATGTATTTCATCTGTTTCCCATGCAGGTATCACAACGTGAACATTAATGTTGCTGTACAGACTGAGCACGGTTTGTTTGTTCCAGTAGTTAGGGTGGGTTGCTCGACTCGGAACTAAGTTCACCGTGCCATTCTTCATATCATCTGCCCCTTTGACCTGTGTTGTTTATACAGGACGCGGACAAGAAAGGCTTGGCCGCTATTGCTGATGAGGTGAAGCAGTTGGCTTCAAGAGCAAAGGATAACAGTCTAAAACCAGAAGATTATGAGGTATAGAGCGGAACATATATCTAGAATGCAAGAGTGTTCAATAGTATTCGTCCTTGATAGTTTTGATGCTACACTTTGCAGGGTGGCACTTTCACCGTCTCTAATCTGGGAGGCCCTTTCGGAATCAAGCAATTCTGCGCCATCGTAAACCCTCCTCAATCGGCAATCTTGGCCATCGGCTCTGGTAATATGCTGCCTAATAGTTGGGGATCCATACCGAAACCCCTCGGTTATACTACTTACTCTGTTACTTACCACGCGGTTGGATTTTTTTCTGGAGCAGCTGAGAAGAGGGTAATCCCCGGGGCGGCTGAGGGCCAGTACGAAATCGGGTCCTTCATGTCAGCCACGCTAAGCTGCGACCACCGGGTCATCGACGGTACGTTTTTCTTTCTTGCCGACTCTGAACCAGTGGATGATGATTCTCATTCCTATGTATCTATGACAAAGGTTTTCTGTTCATTACCTACCACTCACGTTTTGCAGGTGCCATGGGTGCGGAATGGCTCAAGGCATTCAAGGGCTACCTCGAGGACCCGACGACCATGCTGCTGTAGGAGTTCTTTTTCTCTGCTGTAAATGATGATGATTGAGAGCAGTTTTTCTGTGTAGGCTCTCACAAATAAAGACCACAATAACCACGCCTCATTTTTCGGCAATGAGGGCTGGAAACCAAGAGCAAACAAACAGATCATAGTCGGCACAAGATGTTTAACCTATTTATCGGCAAATGGTCGATACACCTTTTTTCCCTTGCGTTACTTGACTGGTGGAAAATTGTTGCCTAGCTACTTTTGCGCCGTGTTCTACTGAATCCGATTCAAAGAAGATTGTGTATCGTATTGCTGCAAGGTGCCAGTCTTCTGTTGCTGAATTTTTCTTATATAGTTTTGTGGCGTTTATGCTGTACTTTTTCTCCTAACTGCGCAATGTGAGGATGAAATAAGAGCACGACTATGTGTCACGGCCCCTAGCCTAGCCTCGCGTGAAGGACACACATAAATGGGCCAGGCCCAGTTAACTTGAAGCATCCCTGGTAAAGGGAAAGTATCTAGCGCTCCCAGGTTTAGGGTGCTCCCGGTGCTTTGATGCGAAAAACATTTTTTAAAATTTTCAAAAAATTCTGAAAAAAATGCAGCACATCGATGGAACATCGATGCCTCTTGTCACAAAATTTCAAATCAAAATTCGAAACATTGCTTGAGATACAAAAATGACAAATTTGACATCAATGTGATAATGGGCCAAAACTAAAGCCCAACTTATGTTATGTACAAAAATTTGTCATTTTTCTATCTCGAGCAATGTTTCGAATTTTGATTTGAAATTTTCTGACAAGAGATATCGATGTTCCGTCGATGTGCTGCATTTTTTTCAGAATTTTTTGAATATTTTAAAAATGTTTTTCGGACATTTGGAGCACCGGGAGCACCCCAAGCCTGGGAGCACTAGATACTTTCCCCCTGGTAAAAGGGTGTAGCGATAGTGCATCTTCCATAGGCCACTGACATACCTTTTCCTCATTCATTTTTTTTTTCAATGGTGAAAAGGATTATGTCTGATGTGAGATTGCCTTTTTTGTCAATGATGAAAAGGATTATGTCTGATGTCGAAGATTGATCAATGGTGGGTTGTCTAGTTTGTTCTTCCTTACATGTCCATTGTGGTCTGAATGTTGTGTATACAGGTGTATTTCTTCTGTGTTTACCCAAGATTGTGATCTGAATGTTCTCATCTCTTCAACTTGTGCGCGTTCGTCATTACTACTCAGCAGTGTGTCAGCGAATTTCCTTAGACCAAACTGTGGTTTGAATAGCAACTTGTACCTCACGACCACTCGATTTGGGATGAATGAAGCTCCCAAGAAATTAAGTTTTGCCATAAGCGAATTTCTTTAGATCAAAGCCAGAGGCATTCAACACACTAGTGGATGAGCTCCCAATAGAAATAGCCAAAAAGTACTGTCACATGATCTTGCTTAGTCGCGTAGATTTACATGCGCTCGCCTCATGCTACCTTTTCTATTGTAACTCTAATCTTGCTTAGTCATCTACTATTCCGAGCTTGCAAAAACGTCTTATATTCTGGGACGGAGCGAGTATTGGACAGTGCTTATAAATACGTGCACACCATCGATCGTAACACTCCTCAACACCCTATTCTCTGCCATGGCATAAGCTGACCCGCGCCACCATCCTCCTCCTAGTCGTGTCTGTTGACGCCGGGTTCCCTTCAACCCACGCCTAACCCCGTTGATCCCGAGCTCTCACCTGCCGCAGCGGCAGCTACGCATCGGCCTGCAGGTCCAAAATCTGGCGTTCCTCATCATCTACATATTCATTGTAATTTGATCTTTTGAACCCAAATTTTCTGTCAACTCTGTGTAAATGCGTATTTAAGATACTTGAAATAGTTCCCCTAAAAAAAAGATACTTGAAATAGGTAAGTACTAAGGGGAAGTTTACGATGCTTGCTTATAAAGCTGAGCCACACAAATTAGTCTTTCTTTTAATACAGTGATGTTAGTTGCTTCTTTTATTCCAAATAAGGAACCGGATGATTCAAAGAATTCAAAGAGACTGAGGAATTGCAAACAAG